TATACATCTCTTGTGTGACGCGCGAGTGCAGCAGTCATATTTGTCCGTCTAAAAAATGTGCTGAATATGCGTTCTGTGTGAATGGCTTTGTTTCAGTTTTAACCTAATCAAGATCTTCTCCGTATTGAGCTACTATATTTCTCTAATATTTTGAATGAATAACGCAGCAGCGGCGCGTCTCGTGGGCTAGACTAACAAAACACTAAACTACAACGTCACTTACATCATCATTACCGCATCTCGCGCTCCCCAACGCATACCTAACATTGGATTGTACTATTTTTGCATTCAAATGCGAATGTTTATTTTAAATTCGACTAATATTCTTCTTTTTTTATTATTATTCACAATCTCCTCGTCACAGGCAGGCACAGCACTCATAGCACGTGCCTATATCGTGCACTATATCGAACATTTTTATATCGTTATCGAAGAAGGTGTACCGTCGATAAATATCGATACCGTTTTATCTCATCATCAGTAGGGAACAAGTGTATTGGGTGGATTTGACTTCCTGTGCCTTATCATTACATTCATATTAATGCCCTGTGTGACTGAAGAATGACTGTACATTGTCACGCTTTCAGACACAGTGCCAGATAAGTACATCTCTGAAAGCCTGCAGAGACACTTATTTTGTGAACACTCTTCTTAATTTAAACAAACAAAACCATATTATCAACACTAAATTAGTATTCCACGATTATTCTGAGAAGTGGTCATGGACATCATTAGTTTTCGTGAGAGGTGAGGAAGAAGCTAGTAACCAAAAGTAGCCTAACTCTGTAGATCTTACGATGAGTAAAAACTATTAACAAAAATGTCCTTGTTAAACTTCATCAGTCATAAAGGTTTAGAAATACATAAAGTTCACTTTTGGTTGAACGTACTTTGAGACTAGTCTTTTCATTACTCTTTCATTAGTTAATTATGTCATTGAGAAAATAAACTTGTTTGAAAAATAGCCTAAACTTGTTTGTGTTGATGCCAATATTATCGTGATCACAGGTAGGAATAGTTCACCCAGAAATGGAAATTTGCTGGAAAAGTCCTCACCAAGATGTAGATTAGTTTGTTTCTTCATCCGATTTGGAGAAATGTAGCATTGCATCACTTGCTCAGCAATGCATGCTCTGCAGTGAATGGGTGCCGTCAGAATGAGAGTCCAAACAGCTGATAAAAACATCACAATAATCCACAAGTAATCCACAGCACTCCAGTCCATCAGTTAATGTCTTGTGAAACCAAAAACTGCATTAAAAAAAAAAAAAAATCATTTATTAATATGTTTTACATTTAAACCGATGCTTCCAGCTAAAATATGAGTCCATAATCCATCATAACACTTCCTCCAGTGAAAAAGTCCATCTCCCGCTGTCTCTCACATCAAACTCCACCCACATATTTGTTTAGAGCTGTTTTGGACCGTTTTCATTTGCAAACTGTGCTTGATCTGTGCAGATTTCTCTCCTGATTCAGACAAGATAAGGTTTTCATTGGAGGAAGCGTTATTATGGATTATGTACCATTTTATTTAAAAGCAATACTTTGACGTTAAAAACAATCTTGATGGATTTGTTTCTTACAAACACGCAGCTTTTGTCTTCTCCAGATGTTAACTGATGGACTGGAGTACTGTGGATTACTTGTGGATTATTGTGATGTTTTTATCAGCTGTTTGGACTCTCATTCTGACGGCACCCATTCACTGCAGAGCATCCATTGCTGAGCAAGTGATGCAATGCTACATTTCTCCAAATCCCATCAGATAAACAAACAAATTCATCTACATCTTGGATGGCCTGAGAGTGAGGACATTAATTGTTAAATGAACTACCCCTTAAAAAAAAAAATTGTCTTCAAGTATTGAATAAGTAGGCTGGTCTGGGAATGTGTACCGTCATTCTTTAAATATTTTACCATTTTTCAACATTTTTAAGTTGGAAAGAAAGTTGGATGACAGCATGGAGACAAATGGAAAAGCAGCCATTTGGCGGTTCAGCAGCAGCTCTCAAATATTCATGACAAATACTACTGGTATTGCTAAAGCATACATACTGCTGAGTTTTCCTCTACTACTTTCATACCAAATTCCCCATTTATGAATAAAGATGGAAACACAGTAGACAAGCATCATGCAAGGATGAGTGCATTCACATCTGCTATTAACAATCCTCTCGGGTGGTCCGATTACAAGTGAATAGTGGTGACTACAGGTGTAATAGGGTCTTAGAGATGCATAGTGAGCAAATCACTCAAAAATGTGTGGAAAGGACTGAGCTTATGAATATTACCTAGCCAAGTGTTTTTAAAAAGTCAAACAGTTTAATATTAATTAATAATCCAAAGATCCATTCTGCAGTTTCACTTCTGTTGGAGAACTTTGTCCCTGAGTGATGAAGGTAAGACTGATGGAAACTTTCAATTTTACATCAATCATGGTAATGGAAATCGATGCAAAAGCAGAGAGAGAGAGAGAGAGAGAAAAGAGAGAGAGATGTGAATCAGCAGTCCATTCCAGTCTCAGCGTGAGAATGCCCATATAAGGACACAGGCCTCCTAACCCCGCCCCCGGACTGTGATGCGGGCTGAATAAGAGAGGTGAAGGGCAAAGGAAGATAGTGAGAGCATTAGTGGCACATTCAGGAAGATGAGCAATGACCTGGAACACCTACAATCTCAATGAGACCCAACATAAACATTTCCATTTCCTAGACGTTACTTCCTTAAATTCCAAAGGAAATTCAAGTTCATTCAGGTTATCCAAACAGCCTTAATAGTGCGTTTGAGGACTGCAGGTACTCACCGTCTAATGTGGGATAATCCTTTCCAACGCCAAAATCTAAGAATAGATATAATGCTACCTTTTATATGAATGACCACACATGCAAGTTTTGTTGACCTTTGTGGTATATTTAAGGTAAAAGAAGCTTTTTGATGAACAAGAACAACAAGAAGGCTTGTTTCCACATTAAAAAACCTCAAACAAAACAAACTCAAACTTCTTTTAAAACTTTATTTAGAACTAGTTTGGATAAAGCAGTGTCCGTAATTCACTTGTAAGAATAGATATAATGCTACCTTTTATATGAATGACCACACATGCAAGTTTTGTTGACCTTTGTGGTATATTTAAGGTAAAAGAAGCTTTTTGATGAACAAGAACAACAAGAAGGCTTGTTTCCACATTAAAAAACCTCAAACAAAACAAACTCAAATTTCTTTTAAAACTTTATTTAGAACTAGTTTGGATAAAGCAGTGTCCGTAATTCACTGAGCAATACTTAATAATAGTGATATACAAAATTACATTTTTAAAACTGTAGTTGGGTTTTCTGAATCATTAGTCAATTATTTTGGTGACTAATCATTCGTCTGTATATAATCTGATCTGATTAGAGAATTTAAGTCATGTAAAAGAGTGTCACGGTCCACTACTTCCAATCCTGTTCCTGCAATCCCATTCAAACCTCCTGCATTATCTCATCCAACACCTGAGCAGTCACATGACAACATGATTCACATGAAGGAACGCTAAACCAGGAGCTTTACGACCCACCACAGCCGGAAAGTGAAAATGAAGGACTGATCCTCACTGATCAGAGAGTGCTTTCCAAAGATCCGTTCAACCGGAAGCCATTCAAGTTCAGTCAATTGTGCAATCTGAGATATGCGACAGTGTCTGTTGGTGATGTGATGTGGGTGTGTCCATAAGACAGAGTTTAAAGGGATAGTTCACACAACATGAAAATTCTGTCATAATTTACTCACCCACATGTCACTGAAGTTCATAAAGAGATCATAAACCTAATCCATATGAATTGAACAATTTAATCCAAGTCTTCTGAAGAGACATGATCGATTTAAATGATAACAGATTTA